TTTTTGGCCCACCAGAACGTGGTGCGTCTTCGATGCTTGTTCTGCCACGCTTGAATTCATTAACCCAAAGACGAACGGCTTCATAAGAAGGACATGAGTCGCCCAACGTTSGAAAAATTCTTTCATGGATTTCCTTTGCTGTTTTTCCTTCCAAAAAAAAGAACTGGATCACACCACGAATTGCAATTTTATCCATTTTTCACAATAACTCGACAATCTAAACTTAAAATAATTCTACAACAAMAAATTACTCACAGAATTCGTTGAGATTTTACAAGTGTCATTTATAGGAAGGCTACTTGATGTTTACATATAAAGTTATGGTTGTCACTTTTTAAAACTATGCGAACCAAGTTATTCATCAAACTACCCTCGTATTTTTTGTATAAATACAGATTGTCCCATGTGAGATATTTCTACTTACAAATCAATTTTAGAAATATTTTTTTAATAAAAAGTTGTGTAAGAAATTGTTGAAAAATTATTACCCGCTACTGACCTGAATTGTCTATTGTTACTAAGACGACTTTATTTTTGTAACATTTTGTTACTACAGTTACAAACACAATTTTGTAGCAACTATACTCGCCAAGGATGGAAAGAGGGTTTTTAAATAAAATTTCAATATACTGTAAAAAACAAACTTCATATTTCAATTGGTAGGACTGAATCTAGGGTTTTTACTATTGATTTAGGGGATTTTTTCGTTTTGAAATTAAATTTAATGAGACTAACGAACTGTACTAAAAAAAGAAAAGCAAAAAGAGAAATTAAAAATGTTGCAAATGTTATATTTTTATGCCACTGAGTATGGAAACAGTGCTGCCACACCTTATGCACAAAAATTCCTACATCTTTCACATATATTACTTTTTGCAATAATAATACATCATTTTGCTTGACATAAAAAGTGTTAATCGATATTTTACTGTTATGTTTCAAACATAAAACCATTGTTACTCTTCGTCATTATTTCGAGGTTAAGAGTCCACCTTTTTACGATAAAATCTCACAATATTCCTGTTACAATCGATCAAATAAATTATTTTGTCCTACTTTTTACGCACAATCATTACATACTCAATTTTTGTTAACGGTTTACGTAATAACAAATCGCAAAAATCTTGAAAGCAATAACAGTTTTTGATAACCGAAAAATTTTCTTTTGCAATATCTGTTACATGAATTTCTACACACTTATTTCGAAAGAGAGGAAGTATCAACTTATTGTGGTTTAATTTGACATTAATAAATGATAATGAAGCAGCTCCACCCACAAGACTTACCTACCATATTTTTTCTCGAGTCAATAATGTCATAATTTGAATTATAATGGGCAGGAAAGAGCAAATTATACACAAGGTCAATGAAAGTGCTGAAATTACACAATTCGCTGAAATTTTTACGACTCTTGACCGTATCCGTGAAAAAGTGGTTCCAAAAACAGGTTTAGAAGAATTTGCAAGTCACACGGAAATGCGTTTTCACGATTTTCACTATCATTATCGACGTAAACGTGTAATCCAGATTCACCTTGGCAAAAAACGCATTTTTATTGTGCCAAATTCCTGTTTTTATTCTCTCGTCCAAGTCGAAGGAATTTCAACCCAGGTAGAATTTTTCAAGTTTCTGTTATAAATCTGACTATTATCAGTTTGTAAATACAAATAAAATTTATTATCTGGGATATTTTTGATGACACTCTAAATTCTTCAATTTTGATCCTAATTTCAAGTTCCAACATCCAAAAGCGTGAGTTTGCACTTATAATTTTAGCCCAAGTGACCCAATTATGCCCCAACTGTGTCAAAGTTACTTAACTAGTTCAAAAAATTCCCCTTTAATTAGCAATTTCGACATTCATTAATAAATTAGCATTTTTGTTGCAGGTATTCGAGTCTAATTAATTCACACAGCACTACAAAATGGTAAGTTTGTTAGTCTAAATCCGGGTTTTTTTTCGAGGTGAATAACACAATAGTTTTTAAATTTAAATTGAATCGTAGAAATTTATTATTTGCAAGCACAGAACATGCGTTTTATTGACACTGCGGAATGTTTTGCTTCATCTGGTTTCGGATTTCTTGCTAATCTTTGAATACATAAACTAATTACGACGTTGTTGCTGTATGAATAGCAATTATTTTTTCAGGGCTATTTACGGATTCTAGTCTTGTTAGTTGCATTAGTTAACAAAGAAAGATATTGTTTTTCAGTTTTGCGGTTTTGTGATGAAATTACTAGTGAGAGGATTAAAATAGGGATCGAAATGTTTCCAATAAAATCGTTGCCAGTATTTTTTCAAATGCAAAAATGCAAATTTCGTTGTACAAACGTAGAAATTTAAAAAGAGATTACAGCAGCTATGTTTGTTTATCAGTTTTTACTATTTGTGGCGTCTTGATAATTTTTATCAATTCGTTATCAAGAAATAACAAACAACAATGGGTATACAGAGTGATTAAAATAATTTCTTTTAACTAACTTTAAACTATGCAATATGATTAATAGAAGAAATCTTAATTAACAAAATCTTTTTATTGAAAACAAATTAAATAATAATGACTTGGAAAAATATTTAGGTCGCTGTGTAAGTGCTAGAATTTACAAAAATTATACTATTCAAAATTTGCTTTTCATTTTTTTCAAAGTAATAAATTAAAAACTCTGCGCGTTCATATCATTTTCTAAAGCTAACTTTAAATTAGTTTTTTTTAACTTCAAATTGTTTTATCAACAACTTATTTCTTGAAAATTCGTAAAAACTTCGAAAAATAAACTAGAGTTACATTGGACACTAATTTGAATCATTCTGTATGTACTGGAATTTTTTATTACACAAAGCTTGATTTTTTTATATTTTTTATTGAATTAGTTTCAGTTTTTGAGAAATTATGAGTTAAAACTTGATATTTTATATATAGGGTGATTCATAGAATTTTCCCTTGCCAATTCATAGCCAAAAAGAACATTCAATCGAAAATGAAAAATGTATAATTGAGTTGAAAAGTTATGTGATTCACTCTGTGTGTACTAAAAATTTAAAAAAAAATATTCAAAGGTGTTTTTTTGTTAATTTTCAATGAACTACTTGAAAATTTTTGGAAACAATAAGTTAAAAACTCTGCATTTGGGTATACAGGGTGATTCATCAAATCTTCCAAATCGTAGAATTGGGTTGGAGAGTTACTCAAATCACTGTATGTACCAGAATTTCGGTAATTTTGATAATTATTTAAAAATTTCAAGAGATGATTAAAAATTCTATGTTTTGACATACATAGGGTGATTTATACAATTTTGTATAACAGGTTTGTACAATTTTGTCATAGGTAAAACAACTAATATTTTTTTTGAATGTACAAAAAATATCAAATAAAAAATGCATTTACAAATATCAATAAGTTGTAAGGTTGTAAGAATCACTCTGTATGTAGTAAAAATTTAAAATTATTCAAAAGTAGTTTCTTGGTAATTTTTATTGATTATTTTGAAATTTTAGGAAACAATAAATTAGAAACTTTGCATTTGAGTAAACAGGGTGATTAATATAATTTTCCAAATTGTAGAGTTGACTTGGAAAGTTATTTGTTTTAAGTTACTCGTATGTACCAGAATTTTGCTAATTTTTAATGAATTATTTAAGAAATAATTTGAATGAAATTTCAAGAAATAACATTCTACATTCGAATATTCAGGGTGATTAATGTAATTTTACAAAACTGACTTTAAACAAGTTTGTTCAATTTTGTCATATACTCCTAATAATTAATGAAACAATTTTGAAAATGTTCAGGAAATATGCAATAAAAATTTTTATTTAGATATAAATAAGTTGCAACCTTACTTGAGTTACTCTGTAGGTATGCACTTTTAGTTTTAAAATTTACGATTTTACGTTGTTATTGAGCCCAGTTATTAGTAATATGTAAAAAATAAAAATTTTAAATAACAAACATCATTTTATGAAGATATACATTTTTTTTACTTTTATCAAAATAACTTAAAACTTTTTTTATAATAGTGGTAATTATTTGTTTCGTATATCAGTAATTGGAGGTTTAGAGCTATAATTTCTTAAGCAAGTGTAAAATACCCTTGAACTCACTCTTGTGCGTAAACAATAGTAAAACAACAAAGGGGCGCATAATTTTAGCACTGTTTAGCTTTAAAAATAGCGAAAAAAACATAAATTAGCATTGAATAGTCAAATTTTTTTTATTTATCATTCATACTATTCTATTTTTAATCAGAGTCGTCTATGACTTTGAAATTAAATTGTCAAATTAAGGTTTCAGTGTCAAATTACAATATTTTTTTGTTTAGGCGGACAAAATTCCAAAAGGCACCACGACCGAAATGGAAACATTTCTCCCAAAAGACGAGTCGTCAATCAACGGAAATGTGACAACGTAAGTGGAAAAACCCCAAGAAAACTAAATACAATGCTTTTTCTAGGTACAAAGTAACAAAAGAGAACGATTTGGAGGCCGCCAATGGCGACTTTGACCCGTTTAAAGCCAGGGTGCTGGACCACCCTGTATCGTAAGTTTAACGCACTCGGTTGCGCCTCGTGCTAAATTTTTTTTCCAGGAACTGTGATACCTTGACCCACCTCCTGAAAGCCTCCTTAGGGACAGGAATCTTATCAATGCCGGCGGCTTTCAAAGCCTCGGGGCTGGTTTTGGGTATTTTTGCAACAATTGTAGTCTCGATTATTTGCACCCACTGTGCCTACATCCTCGTGGCTTCGGCGCACGAACTGTACAAAAAAACCGGCAAGCCGGCTATGAGTTTCGCCGAAGTGGCCGAAGAGGCCTGTCTCAGGGGCCCCAAATGGGGGCGAAAGTTCGCCTGGGTGGCGCGACAGACTGTCTTATGGGGGATTTTCGCCACGTATTTCGCCACATGCAGTTGCTACACTGTCATCATCGCGAAAAACTTCCTCTACGTGACGGAACACTACTGGGGGGAAAATTCGGTGGATCTTAGGGCAGCCATTGCCCTGCTGTTGGTACCACTGATTCTCCTCGCTTTTGTGCCAAATTTGAAGTATTTGGCACCGGTTTCCATGGTTGCTAATGGTTGTATGGCGGTGGGATTAGGGATTACGTTTTATTATCTCGTTCAGGAGATTCCCTCGTTTACTGAGAGGCCGGCTGTGGTCGATGTGACCACTCTACCGGTTTGTATCAGTGTTGTGATTTTTGCTATTGAAGCGATTGGGGTTGTTATGCCTTTGGAGAATAATATGAGCACGCCGAGGAGTTTTATTGGGATTTGCGGCGTTTTGAACCAAGGGATGAGTTTCGTGACGCTGGTTTATATCATTCTGGGATTTTTTGGGTACTTGAAATATGGGGAGGAGACCAAGGATTCCATCACTTATAACTTGCCAAGAGAGGCAATGTAAGTACCAAAACAAAATATTTTTTTTTTAATTTGGATTAGGTTTATCGCTATTTAAATTTTATTTTTCTCAGGTTGGTTATTAATAAATATGTAGTACAAAGCATACTAAATTTTAGCCCTTCATTTATGTTTTTATTGTCAATGTCGCCAACTTAATTTCAAAATCACGTGCTACTTCGATCCGTTTTTAATGATAAAACGTTTTAAATGGTCGAAAACAGCAAAAATAAGGTTATTTTCGACGTTTTTTTTTATTTTTTGATCTGTTTCAACGCAATTTTACAAAAAAAAAGGAAAAAAACACAAATTTGTAGCTCAAAAACGCACCTTGAATAAACTAGTTGAGCTTCATAAATTCAAAAATAAATCGATTTGTTTTTACAAAATCTTGTAAGAAAGTGAGTCTTTAGCAAAAGAAACTTCGAACAAATCAAAAATAATATAAATGTGCATTTATATTTTTTTACTCTTTGAGCGAAATATTAGAAAAAGCAGCTTTTAAGATAAAAACGTGTATAAACGGCCTA